TTGTCGCGACACCAGATACTCCAAGATATAGAAATAACTTTTCTTCCGGATCTGGGGCTGACAGGACTGGTGGATTCTGCATATATTCCTTCAAATGAGTCAATGCTTGTCGTTGCTCATCCCCCCAGACCTGCCTTCCATGGCTCCGAATCGTGTCAAAGAACGGCTTGCAGTGATCTGACAATTTTGAAATAAATCGACTTAATGCAGCTATTCGTCCTGTGAGGGCTTGCACCTCTCTGATCGTCTTTGGCTCGGCATTCTTAATCAAAGCCTCTGCTTGAGCGGGGCTAACTTCGATGCCTCTGCGGTTGACCACGTGTCCCAGAAACTGTCCGGAACTCACACCGAACGAGCACTTGGTTGGATTGAGCCTCATCCCATATCGTTTCAGTACATCAAATACATCTTGTAGATGCTTCAGATGATCATCCTTCTTCCTACTCTTTACCACCATATCATCAATATAGGCTTCCACAATCTTTCCCATTTGATTCTTAAAAATTTTGCTAACAAGTCTTTGATAAGTTGCTCCCGCATTCTTTAGTCCGAAAGGCATAACTTTGTAGCAGTATGTTCCTCGCTCGGTGACAAAAGAAGTTTTTTCTTCATCTGCGGGGTCCATAGGGATCTGATTATAACCTGAATAAGCGTCCAGAAAGGTTAAACGCTCATACCCGGTGGTGGCATCCACCATTTGATCAATCTTAGGCAGCGGGAAGCTGTCCTTCGGACAGGCTTTGTTCAAATTGGTGAAATCAATGCATACTCGCCATTTCCCATTCTTCTTCTGCACGACAACGACGTTGGACAACCAATCAGGGTAGTGCACTTCTCTGATAAATCCCGCATCAAGGAGCCTATCGACTTCTTCCGCTATGATTTGATTACGTTCTGGAGCAAATCTTCGCTGCTTCTGTTTCACTGGTTTGAAATTGGGATTGACATTCAGGGAATGACAGGATACGGAGGGACTAATTCCAGGCATGTCTAGGTGACTCCATGCAAATACGTCGGCATTGTGGGACAAGAAATCCACTAGCTCTTGCTGCTCTTCTCTGGTCAGTCTTATACCTACTCTGGTAGTTCGTTCTGGCCTGGACTGATCGATCTGCACATCCAGAAGGGGCTCCTCGGTCAAGTCGACTGACTCCTCCACCCTGTTCTGCTCGGGCGGAGGTTCCTGTAATTGCTATCTGGGGCTTGCCGAACGGACGGGCGCCTTCCCTTTCCCAGCATACTTTAGTGTGACGGAATAACACTCTTTGGCTGCAACCTGACCCCCCCGAATGTCTATCACTTTATCTCCATCGGGTCCGAGGCACCTCATGACCTGATGCAGAGTTGAGGGTACACCTTGGACTCTATGAATCCATCCTCTTCCCATCAGGAGATTATACGAGGGGTGAATTTCTACAACCACAAAAGTTTCCATAGAAGCTCGTTCTGCAGCTTGAACTTCTACTTCCACCATCCCGACGGGCTCCACCCTCTTCCCATCGAACCCTAACAAGGGATTTCCAGTGGGCTTGAGCCTCTCTGGTTTAATCTCAAGCCTATCAAATGTGTCCCTCGGCATGACATTCGCACTGCTCCCAGGATCGATCAGAACTCTGCGCACCAAGCAGTCCGCCACTGTCAAACTGACTACCAACGGGTCTTCATGGGGCAGTTGAACACGCTGCAGGTCTGTCCAGTCGAACTTTATCTGCATCGACGGGCTCTGCTGGTGTAGAGTATTCACACTGCTGACCCTTTTCTTCATCTGCGCCTGCCGCAGGCGCGCCCAGAGTAGCTCATCTGACTCTTCACTGGGCTCGGGTCGACTATGGATAGCATTGATTATATGAACTGGTTGTGAATTGTGGGAGCTTTGTTTATGACTCCTTTTTATTTGTTCCACCGGTCGATTCTGCTCTATCGCCGAGCCTTGAACATAACTCGCGAACTCCCCTCTAGCTATCAACATCTCCACTTGCCTCCTCAGGTTCCTGCATTCGTTAGTCTGATGACCGAAATCGGAATGGAAAGCACAATGTTTAGTTTGATCCCTCTGTTCGAGGGGTTACCTAATTGGCAGTGGTGGATGAAACTTATCTTTGTTCTCCTGATACAGCCTCGCCAGAGTGACCTTCAGCGGAGTAATCAGCTCTTCCTCCCTGGACCTTTTTTCTGCCTTCCAAGAGGTCTGACGTTGCGGCTGAGCCTGCTTCTGCCTGATCTTTGCCTTGGACTTTTCCTCGGTCGACACGAGCGACGCTGTCCGAGCATTAGCTGCCTCCTCTTCTTCTAGGCGCACAAAGCCATCGGCTCTTTCATTGAGTTCATCCATAGTAGTCGGCGTGTTCACTACCAGACTGGTGTGAAACGGAGTTCCACGTGTCATGGCTAACTTGAAGGCTTGAACTGCTGTAAAAGGGTGGCATTCGATCACCATACTCTTAGTGAGATTAAACCTGGTAAGAAAAGCCTGGAGACGTTCATCCTTGTGCTGCCTCATCGTGAATAGGCTCGAGATGTCCTTCGGCGGGCACTTGTTCCCATAGTACTGGCTTATGAACCGATCGCACAGGTTTCTGAAGCTACCAATGGAGCTCCTAGGCAAGTTTTTGAACCAGCTAAGCGCCAGTCCGGCTAGGCTTGTAGGGAAACATTTGCACATTAAAGAGTCGTTTTCCGTATTCAGGGCCATTTTCAACTGGATATGGTACACATGATCGATCGGATCGGTTGTTTCGTCAAACAGAATAAAGACTGGTATAGCAAACTTCCTTGGATGCGGGGCATTCAAGATCTCGTCGGTGAATGGTGAATCAACCGTCCGAGCTGCGGATCGGAGAGATTCATTCTCTCTCTAGAGTCCAGCGGTAGCTCTGTGAGTTACGGTTCTGCCCTCCGAACCGTGATGAGTGATAGTAGCCATGGAGGGCCGGTAAGACGGATCGAACGACCGTTCCTCTATGAACTCTCTTTGCCAAGGCGACGCTACTCGACGGCGATCAACCTCTATCAATTCCTCTCGGTCGAACCTTTCCCGATGCGGATCGAAGGTTATGGCTTCATTCCGTCTAATCTGCTCATGTCGCGGATCAACGTGAGTCGATCCTTCGTGATCCTCAACTCGACGAACATTTGGCGGCAAATTGTCCATCATCCTTTCATCACGGTGGTGAGCTGACTGATTGTTCTCGTCCTGCTCGCCTTGACGCGCGATATTAGATTGAACACCTCCTTCACCGACCGGAAGTGGATGCGAAACCGCAGGTACTTGCTGATGTTGCATTCCAGCTTTCAATTCTGCATTCTCTTTTTTGAGAGCTTCAATCAAGTTCATCAACTCCTCAAGCTTTGTTTGCTGGACAGCCTCCATCGGATTGGAGCTTTCACCTATCATTATTCCTGAACGGAGTAAAGGCATTAATCTCAAGTTCGCGAGTAGATCCGAGCTTCGTGAGTGGGAATTTTTCAGATCTGGTTTCGAATTCTCCGAATTATGCTCACCGTGTACGAGATCTGAATTGTCTGAACTCTAAATCCGTCAGATCCTGCCACCATCGAACAACTCGTTGTTGCGTAGATCTGAAGCCACTTCTGCCAAAGCTTCAAGAATTGTAATTCCTCCAGAGTAGGTCACAATCGCTCAGATCTGGATCCAAATCCCAAAGATCGAGTCTCGATCAACCGAATTGGTCTGAATCCACTCGATATTCCTCATTGATCAACCAAACTTCCATGCGGTTCCCACAGACGGCGCCAATTGAAGATGCAAGAAATTCATACCCTCTTTCTCTCTCTAGAATTCTTACACTTCAACCAAAAGATCCCCCCATTCTTTCCATTCCTTCCCTTATTTATAGATATTTACAAGATATTTACAAATATTGACGGATTGCTGGATCTGGGCCTGTTCCTCCATAAGTCCTGGTCACCTTTGATGGGCTTATTCGCGTTCGGCCCATATGGCAGTGTCTTTTTATGGGCCGACCCAGCTGTACGGATCGGATGTCGTGCTTGCAAGTCAGATCCGGCCCATGTCGTCCTGGGCCTCCTCAGTTATGAAAAACCACATCAATTCTATGAGCGTTGACCATCTTAGTTGGGTATATTTTTCCAAATGTTTCAGATTATATTATTATTATTTTTATTTTGCAACTGTAAATTAGTAGATTAAAATTAAATGTGAAAATCACCAATTTAATAATTTTGAATAGGGCCAGTAGGTTGACCACGATTGTAAAAGCTGTGTAGGACTGGGAAAATTAGAACATTTCAAAATTAAATATGCACGATTGAGATATCTAATTGTAGGCAAATGGCTGTTTATATCAAACAGGTAAATGACAAGTATGGCACTCAAAGTGTGTCCCCAGATGTAAGTTTTTATGAATGCGATTATTCAGACTACGTTTGAGACATCTTCTTCACAAGAGAGAAATTCCATACATCTCAAGAACAAGAAGGGGAAAGTTAGGGTTTAAACTACTTGCAACTTACAGGAGCCCAACCCTTCAACCACCACTATCCAGACCTCCGATGCACCACCAATCGACCACCACCGCACCACCCACACCACCAAACGACTACCACCGCACCACCGGCACCACCAATCGACCACCACCGCCATGTTCTTCCCTGTTTCTCCTGATGTCGCGGGTAAGAGAGAAGAAAGGAGTCAAACCTAATATGTTTATATGAAACTAACGCAAACCCAAAATGTGCTATATTAGGATAGAATAATGAAAAATAAAATAATAAGAATTAAATTTACCGACACACTGTTTATAACCGCCGGAAATAATAAATGATTTCTGGCACTTTTAAAACGAATGCCGGAAATAATTAATATTTTCCGGCCCTTTTCAAAAAACTACCGGAAATAACTAAAATTTTCCGGCACTTTAAAAAGACTGCCGGAAATAATTAATATTTTTCGGCACTTTTTAATATACCGCCGGTATAAATACAAATAACAACGGATTAGTTAAAACCGCCGGAAATAATCAATTAAAGCCGGCGGACGGAAAAAAACCGCCGGTGAAAATGATATTTGTTGTAGTGAAAACCCTCCTGATCATACAATTAGCCACTAAAAGACTGATGAACAATGGATCCTCGTGGGGGAGTTGAACTCTGGTTAGGTCGCCATCTCCGAATCCAATACTGATGCTACCCGAAACGATAGCATTGACCGGGGATATCTTCCTGAGCTTATGGGTTGCCCTCAACCTGGATCTGTATACCTCATCGGACTCTTGATCATCTTCAAACCTGCCATGTATTGCATGGATGACTTTTACTTGCGTACCTTCCACCTTGCGGGGATAGACCTCGTGGGGCTTTGCATACTCCTTTGTCATGAGGTAATCCGTCAACTCACCTCTGGCGATCATATTCTCCACCTGTCGCCTGAGGGTTCGACAATCATTGGTTGAATGCCCATAGTCTCGATAATAAGCGCAATGCTTGCTTTTGTCCCTTTGCTCCAGGGGTTGCTTTATTGGCTGCGGAGTTGTGAACTTCATCTTATTCTCTTGGAAGAGCCGAGCCAAGGTAGTTCGGAGAGTTGTAAATCCTTCCTCTACCCTTTGCCTTTTTTCACGTGCCTGGGTGATCGGCGTTGAGGAACGTTGGCTTTTTTGAATCTTTGGAGTTGGAATTCTTTCTCGAGGCTTGTTTTCCACTGTCACGAGGGTGGCGTGCTGCGCTCAATGGGCTATATTTTCCTCAAGCCGAATGTAGATCTGGGCCCTGGCATTGAAAGTCTGCATATCGGGAGGAGAATACTTGACTAAGGAAGTGTGGAACTTCGTCCCCTGAATTATCGCGAGTTTAAATGTCTCTATAGCAGTTGCGGGATGACAATCCGCTATTTCCGAGGCTTCCATGTTGAATCTTGACAAGAAATCCTACAATGTTTCCCCCTTTTTTTTGCCTTATGGTGAAGAGGCTGGCAATGCTCTTCTTTTGCTTCTTATTTCCACAATACTGTGCCAGGAACATGGTGCATAGAGTTATATAATCCGGGATGGATTTATGCGGTCTATTCCTGAACCACTCTAGTGCTGCTCCTGTCAAACTGGTAAGAAAAACTCTACACATCCAAGGGTCATTACGATCATCCAAAGCCATCTTTTGAGCGTAATGATCTAGGTGCCAAAAAGGATCCCCCGTTCCATCAAACTGGGTGAAAGAAGGCATGGTAAATTTCTTGGGCCTCTCAACCAGATACACATCGTCAGTGAAAGGAGTTTTAACCAAGGAAATTTTGTGTTCTCTAGCCATCTCAGCAAGTGTCTGAATCTTCAGGAGTCTCTTCTCGTCAAAGGCATCCTGAACGTCTACACCATCTGGGATTCCATTGGACCACACCGTAAGCTTATGGCTGGATTCGACTTGCTCATCTTGTGTGCGACGAAGGACGTTATCTGAAGCCGCAACCTAGGATCTTGCCCTCCGTTGTTGCTGAACCTCATTCGGCTGAGCCTCATTGGGTCGTGCCCCATTAAGTGGAGCCCCATCAGGCGGAAGTCTGGTAATCGGAGGAATATTCTGACTAAGGGGTGCTGCTATGTCACCCACTAGTGGCGATGATGCCAACTGAGCCAGCACCATTTGCAGAGTGTTATTCTGCTGTTAAAGCAAGGCGATCTGAGCCACGCTTACTTCGTTTGCCTGATGAAGTACGTCAAACTGGTGTAGAAACTCTTCACACATCTTCTGCATCAACTCTGTTTGTTGATCCGTTGAAGATCCTCCGTTCGACATTCTGGATGGTAGTTGCAGGATTCACCTGTGAAACAAAAAACAAGAGTGGGAATATATTTGCACACGATTCCCACAGATGGCGCCAAAGTGTAGGTGCAAAATTCCGCTCAACCAATAATAATTGAGAAAAATAATACAACACACTCAAGAACAGTAAAAATAAATAAGAACAGTGTATAGAGAAGCGTTGAATTGCTTGGGATCCTTTATTGGAGGTCTGGGCCTCTATTTATATACACAAATTGGTAGAATTAAGGTAGGACTCACGTTGCTTGTCCTCCAATTCTTCCCATACATGACTTTCTTTACAAATAGAGTTCTTTCTATTGTATAATATTTCCTACATCGAACTTGCCTTGTATAGAACTTCCTATAAAAGAATTCTCCTTTTATGATAAATCTTTCTACCGATAGGATTTGTCCAATCTTGGAAAATTGGACTGAATACACCTTGAACCAGTTGGGCTTGAATAACAGGCCGGATGTTTGATGTTGCCATATTGGGCTGATAATCTATTGATTCGGGCTTCAACAGGACTGAAGGTCAAATAACAATAGTATTGAGCTTGTGAATAGTGATCTTGGACTAGCCTCAAACTCAATTTGGGTTTGAGCGAGGTGGGCTTCATAAACTCATCATGGATAAGTTTATATTTATGATGATGTGGATTATTCTCATTGGAGGGAGATTTTTCCCTCCACACCCACCATATCCTTATATGTTCAAAGAACAAGGTTTTCCTTGTTTGTTCCGTGAACAAGGTGTTTGTGTTGGTGGCGCGATATATTGGATTTCGTGTAGGGCTCCAGGGGAAGAAGTTCTGGTGGCTTTTTATGTTTGTAGTGAAAATTTCGGAACGTTCCCACTTCCTGACGGTGTTTCTGGGAAGTATAAATTGAGAAAAATTGGAGGGCGTTTGGCTTTATTCAACTACAGTGACAAAAAATTATGGATATTAGATGATTGTCACGACATGTGGTTTCAGAAGACCGTTGCGGCTCCACCAAAGTATGAAATACTTTTCACCTTTCCAAAACAGAGTCCTAACAAAAAAATTTATTGGGATCACAGTTATAAGGCTTCTAAGCCTATTATTAGTATTGGTGAGGAACCTTTTTACTATATTCGTAAGGCACCTTTTAACTATCACTATCATAATGGTGTAAATGTTAGTATCACAAATCATGTGGAAAGCATCGTTTGTTTATCTTGATGCTTGATAGTTGTAACACATGAGAATCCTAGGAATGCAATTACTAATTAATAAATTGCATTTTGAATTATAATGCAACTTTTTTATTCTGAAAATTGTAGTCATTTTTGTGTGTTTTCCATTTGTTCTTGTGGTTTATCTTTAGTTTTCTTTTGCATACCCAACAATCACATGAATAAGGCTTTTAGGCCTATTTTGAAATTGAAGGAAATTTAGTACAAATTTTCATATCATCAAGTACTGGTGTTTTTTTTTTTTTTTTTGTTAAAAGGTAAGCTTGTGTATAAATAATGGAGAATTGTACAAGAAGCCCCAATTATAGTAGGGATTAAATCAAGAAACAACACAGCTAATAATTACAACCAGCAACACATAGGAACACAAGATCAATAGCAACAACAAACAAAGTGGACAATACACCCCCAAGATAGACAAGTGACAGCAACAGCATTTTAAACTTCACGTTAGCAACCAGCTTTGAGAATGGGAGGTAGAACAGGCCTGCAGGAAAAGATTATAGAGGTCTTGCTCTGTTGAAATGAGAGACAGATCAGAGGTCCTTCTTAGGTTGATTGAAGCAAGTTTTGCTCTGGTGCAAGACTTAATCTGAGAGATTATATGTTGTGGAGGTGTTCTAACGTTTCTAAACACCCTTGCATTTCTTTCCTGCCAAAGGAAATAGATTGCAGCAGACAACAGCAGCTTATGTGTCAAAAAACTTTGAGATTTCCAGTGGTTTGAACACCACTTTACCAGGTCTGACCAACAATTAGGGAGGATGTAAAAGCCTGCAATGTGCTGGATGAATCTCCAAACTTGAGTACTATAAGGACAGTTAAAAAACAAGTGTTCCATGGATTCACAATCTGAGCAACACAAATAACACTTATTGACATAATGTTGGTTGATCATTGGCTTCGAGTCAAAAGTGTAAAGCCTTCGTCTCACAGCAAGCCAAAAAATACAACTGTGTTTGGGTACTGGTGTTATTGTGGCAAGAAGTTACTCTTTTTTTTTTCCTTGATTAACGAACGCATTAAGAATTGTGTTTATGCAATTGGTGCGTCCATCTGCTTGTATGTGTCTCTGCGTGTATTGTCGCTAGTTTATGGCGTAACCTATACAGCCTCTGATAGGGGAGTTCTTGTGTAATTTTTAGAATCACAGGAGCACAGTAGTTTGTGTTTTATGAAAATTCATAGCAAATTTAACCTGAAACCTACTTTCCTTTAAGGAAAAGAGTGATTTTGTTGATTTAGAAAACTTCAAATTAAATAATGATTTTGTTGATTTAGGAAACTTCAAATAAAGGAAAATAGTGATTTTGTTGATTTAGGAGTGATTTTGTTAATTTAGGAAACTTAAAATTGGAAAAAGAGTGATTATTAATGGAGTCCGTCTCAATTCGCCAATTTGTTTTCCTAATTCGTGATTTCCATACGAATTTACTTTATACACCTATATTACCATATATGCATTTATTATTTACACTATTACTCAATATATATACATTAATTACTTCAATTTCACTTGTGTCCCAACTATATGGCATAATAGCATTGCTATACACCTATATTACTATATATGTATTTATTATTTACACTATTACTCAATATATACATTAATTACTTAAATTTCACTTGTGCCCCAACTGTATGCATAATGGCATTGCTATAGTACCACATATATATATATATATATTAGTTATACATGTTTTAAAATATACTACTATTAGTTAGAAAAGTTAGCTTATTTATTACATATATTATTAATGGAATAAATAATAATAAATATATTTGCATATGGATTTCAATAAATAAAAAAAATATAAAATAGATATGTCATGACCTGATATAATTTTATTTAAACCTAATGTTGATACTTTCAACATGTGTATGGGTCAAACGAATAATTTTAAATTGACTATTTATACCAAATACAACTCAGCGGTGGGCTCCACTTTCTTATTTGTTGTATAATTGACCAATTAAAATATTAGTTCTAGCAATTCATTGCAACTATTTGATGTAAGAATCATTTTTCTTATTAATATGACATGTCATTATATTATTCGGTAAGGAGAAAATAGCTTGTACAATATTCAATAAATCAATTAATTAAGTTTTATACATATGGCTAGCTTCTTTTTCTTTTTCTTTTAATTGAAAATTGGTGATTTTGTTGATTTAGGAATTTTAAAATAAGAAAATTTGTGTTTACAACATATATATAACTTTTATTTTTTAATTAAAAAATAATGATTTTGTTGATTTAGGAAAATTTAAAATAAAGAAGTTTTTTATATCCAAGATTGGTAATCCTAGTAGCTTGCAAGTTCCTAAACATACTCCAACTATGCCGCAAGAAAAACTAAACCCTAATTTGAGAAAAATTAGGTTAAACCACGAGTCTATATATAAGTTGCAACACTCAGAAAACCATGTTCTGAAACTGAGCAATGGTAAAGAAGAAAACAAGAAAGACTAACGACAACAAAAGAAGTCATTCCATTGTCGACATTCCTCCACTTCCAGAAGATATAA